TTAAAACACTGTCCAAGTATACTTAGGCCCTAATTTTACAACTTTAAAACATTGACTAAATAACCACGTACAAAGTAAAACGCGCATACAATAAGTTATCCGTGACCCTAAGGTTTACGACCATAGTGCACCAACTTCTATATAAAGTATATTGTTACCTTGCATTCTAATATCTATAATTTAGCATCACTATTATCAATAGGCAATGAATACTAAAAATCTAACTCCTAAATACTACATTGTTTAATGAAAATTACGACAAAATACGAGGCAATTTTATGTCTTCGCCTTTGAAATTAGATGTTTTCCTTGATAAAAGTTTTCTCAACAAGAAAATCTTTTAGAGGGCTGTACACGGACTTCTTGAAGTAACGATACTTTAGACAGACGTTCGTGTATGGGCATTTTCTGAATTCGAGGAATACCTAAATACCCATAAACAATTTACAAGTATCAAGTACTATCGAGTTACAAGTTTTGTGTCACACGCGATCCACGCTATTGTCTATGCGACACAGAAAAAAAAAGAGGACGTCTTTTAATTATCTATGCGCAGGAAAACGGCGGGATTTTTTACGCGCGAATACAAGATAAAGATACATGTTTTAACGTTTCATTTGGATTGTATAATATACACGTAGAATTTTCTCTTTTTTTTTCTAAAATATCAATAACACATAAAATGCCTACAAATTCAATTAAGTATTTTCTTTAACACAAGTTTATGTACTTCTTTGTAAAACTCCTAATTTAGTAATACGCGAGTAACGGTGAAGGAGTACATCTTGATGTAACCTGCACATATCTGCGAAAAAAATCAAAAATGTGTGAAGTCAAACCGCACTGGGCAAGCGGTCTATGGTCTAGTTACCCCTAACTTAGGGTAGTCTCCGAGCCCCCTCAGTAGGGACGTATAGAGAGCCGATGACCATCGGAGTGACAACCTTAAGAAACATCTGAAATTCTAAATAATCCAGAGTCAATGGGACCGCGAATTTTTCTCGCTTATAAAGGTTTCTCGTTTATCCTGGTTTGACTGTTATTTATCAAATAATAATATCTTTTAATTATTAATACGTTTAAAGCAATTTTTTTGTTTAATTTGAAATATTTCTTGGGTAAAAAGTATACTTTTGTCATTTTCTTAACTCCAGAAAATATGTTGGGAAACAAAACATATCTTTTCAAACTAAACAAAAGAATGTCTTAATCCTGTGTGACCTTTTTTAAATATTAAACACTTGAGTATATTTTAAAAGTGAAATTTCCTTTAACGTTGTACGTTTTAAATGCAAATTCAACTAATTGTTATTTAGTCAACGCGTCGAACTATTTTAAATGAATATAAAAGTAATTTATAATCGAAACGTGTCGGGTTTAAGTTATAACAGACGTGAGTAAACTATGATGGGAAATATATATCAAAAGAATCCCTAAGGCTGGTGTACTTAAATGTTACTAATATTATAAATGCGAATGTTTGTTGGAAGATATCTGCAGAACGTTTCAATAGATTACGATGAAATTTAGCATAAAAGTAGAAAGTTGTCTGAAAGAATAAATAGGCTACTATTTAAGTTTTTTTTCTGGACCAATAAAGGACTTGTAAAGTAAGGCTTGTTTTTATACGTTTTCATATGATTGATTATTTGCTGTGGGTTTCTGAGACCATAAGCCTTCGTTTTGTCATAGATAATGACAAGGAATAAGATTGTTTTATACAGAGATTTAAGTCTCGGAAACCAATGGTTTACTAATGCTTCTGAAAATGGGTTTACAAAAATGTAAATGTCAATAATTAGACGAATTGGTTCTTCATATTTTAATAGACAGTTTCCAATACCCAAAACTAATATTAAACATATTATTATGTTTATTTTTAAGGGAGAAAAACAGTTTTATACACGTGTTTCGACAGTGGAACGGACTTTGTTAGCGATTGTATCATGTAGGATATGTTTTAAATATTTTATTGTAATTGCATCGTTTAATTACGATATTAAAGTCTTGATGAATTTATAATAAAAGAAAAAAAATACGTTTAAAAATAAAATGCTTGAACCCGACTACATGTTCCGAAAGCAAGAAGTTATGATCTTATTCTGATTGTTCACTTTTTATAAAAATGGAGGGAAAATTCGAATTCTCAAGTTTTTTTTTTAAACGCAATGTTGAAATTCTTTCATGCCAGTCCAGTTAGAAAATGATTCATGCATGTTTGCTTTGTAATGTACACCTTTGCTATCAGCTACGAAATATGTTAACACTTACAAATGCTTTACATTTGAAATAGCTCTTATTTCCATAGACATAAAGACTAAAATATTTCCATTAGTCACGCTGTTGAAATCCTTACAGGTTAAATCCATTGACTAATATTACTTAACTTACATTGTAAGAAATGCCTAATACTTTGTCACACTTTGTGACTCAGATAAAAAAAACGCCAAATTACAAATTAAAAAAAAAAACTCACCAAACGTGGATATCCTGCAAACGGAACGGATAACCTTATTTGAACTTGGGTCGCACTTAAAAGCTTAAATAAAAAAAAAATAACTTTCAAGACGTCTGTTGTCTACGATGGTCGTATCGCAACTGGTCGTCGAGGCGGCGCTTGCGCACCAGTTGACGCCTTCACACACACCAGTGGGGGGGCGCTGTCGCGGTGGAGCCTTCGTGAAATGCAACGCGGCATACATATATACCTTTTATATACTACACCGCTTTTTAATTATTTACCGCTTGATAACAATAGGACATTTATCTAACTTAAGCGATATTGAATTTACATATAAATAAATAAAAAACTTTTTAAGCGAAGGGGTAGTATAATAGTACGAATAACCTGATTAATAAAAAAAACATTTTATGGGTCCGTCATTAAAGTTTTTTAACATTTTATAGCACAGTAACATAAAAATTGTCAAACAAACTAAAATAAATAAGTCTCTTTAAGAGATTGAAGGCAGAGAGGATTGTGGAAATTAGGACGTCTTTACTACTAAATTAAAAATGCTAAAACTAATTTCATTAAATAATATGAGTAAAATGAGACTACCTTAAATTCACTGATTATACAACTATCTGTACGCGACTTCGTCCGCGTTGAATTATTACACTTAGCCTATTTGTTTTTTCAGCGAGATCCATACATCCGTTCTGGAGATACATTTAAACAAACATCCATCCATCTATTGATCGATAACTATCATTTATAATATAGGTAATAATTACGAAGTTTATTGTTAACGATTATATAATCTTATATACAAAGTAAACAGTCCGGATTGGAATTACTGAAATTTGCAAGAGCCGGATTCGAATCTACTAACACAAACAGTCGAGCAATTTAACTCGTAAACTATTGGCGCTTCTTAAGCTTTATTTATTAACAAATTCAAGGATCTTTAGTTCTTTTTATCCATTACATCAATAAGTTACATTTTTATACAAAACTAACCTTACTTAATAGTGTGTTCGGTATTTAATTTAAAAAAAAATCAAAGGTGACATCCGTTGACACCGTGCCCTATGCATATGCAACTGTATAATCCAAATGTGCATACAGTGTGTCATTTTCATATTTATTTTATATATACATTTATATATGTTATTCATCATCAGCTCAATATACGTCCCCACCGAGGAGCTCGGAGCCTACCCTAAGTTAAGTTTGATTAGACCACAGTCAACCACGCTGGCCTATCGCGGGTTGGTTGACTTCACACATATCTTTGAATTTCTTCTCAGATATGTGCAGCATCACGATGTTTTCTTTCACCGTAAGAACGTCGGGTAAATGTACATATATAAAATCGGAAATCGAAAAAACACATTAATACGTGGCGGGATTTGAAACCAGGACCTGCAAATTGCAAGTCAAGTCAAGCACTCTTGAGCCATCGACGCTCCTATATGTTATTATTGATTCGATTTTTTTAACCTAATTGTGATTTTTTTTCAAATCCGAAGTGAAAGGTACTATTTTGCGTTTAATCTTACTAATATTAAAAAACCGAATGAGTGCATGGATGCATGTTTTCGAAAAGGTATTTCCAGAATGGCTGCATGGATCTAGCTGACATATAGCATAGATGTAGAACATAATCTGGAAGAACACATAGGCTACTAATTAAGTTTTTTACATCCGCTAGGACGGAGTCGCGACCGACAGCTTAAAGAAAATAAATGCATCAAATATAAAAATTCGGTATAGTTTAATCGGGAATTATGATATTAAAACATTTTATTTCTGGTTTAATTGGCAAAGACGCGAGATGTTTAAAATATTTAAAAAAGGCCAAGTCCAATGTGTTGTCAAGAGTTTATGAGTATACAATATTTCTACCAAAGTTGGGACAGTGTAAACGCATAATAAAACAAAATGCACGTACCTTTGTCTGTATCTGTCAGAGAGTAGGCAATAACAAAGACCCTACGAGTGTTATCAATCGAATTTATATGATGCCATATCACGGATCAATACATTTATCGCCCACAACTCTACCAAGTATCGAATACTATTCAAATATATTAACTTTTGTATTATAATATCTTATTAATATTAGTACCTGCATGACCGAGCTTTGCTTGGTTTTTTTTTCAAATTGTGTTTTTTTGGAAATTATATTTATGTACGAATTACTAATAAAATGATGAAATATGAATAATATTTTTCGATCTTACCGATAGAAAAAGTTAATTTTATATTTAAGTTGATTATCGATAAAACACGAATAAAATGACATTTTCTAAAAATGATTCCTATCTAGATCGATTTATTGCCCCCCAGACACCCTAAATACTAAATTTTATGAAAATCGTTGGAGCCGATTCAGAGATTCCAATAAAGAATTGATTAAAGATATAAGATAAGATATATGCGAATGTTTAGATAGATGGATGTTTGTTAGAAGGTATCAGAACGGCTGCATTGATCTTGATGAAATTGATGGAACACGTAGACGGATTTTTTTACAAATGCGAAATTTTCTTACCTCATTTTGCAGTGTTGCTTGTAATTCTTCGTTTAACTTCTTCAGAGCTGCTATCTGTGAAACAGAGAAATACATTAGCAACATCAAACCACGAAACATATAGTCATCTCTTTTTTATTCAAAGAGAATGACAGTGATAACTATAACATATTTCGTAAATGCGCAGTGGAAACATACGTTAATTTTCAACGAATCAATGCCCTTAGACGTATTTGGGCCAAACGCAAATTATAGGATGTCAGTTTTTTTAAATCTTTAGTTAGATTAGTTTAAGTTAGCGTTAGGTTAAAGGTTATTTTTGGTCTTATTTTGTCATTGTTAGTTATGCAAACAGATCGATTTGTGATAGAGATAAAAGATAATATACTAAATATACTATTCATACAGTCCCATGTAAATGTGTTGGAACATAATAACACAGGAAGTCGATGCAACGAAAATGATAAATTTGAAGTCACAAGTCAAACATGGCTGCCGAGGCCGCTACCGTACCAACGGCAAACTAGGTGCAACACTTTTAAACAATTTTCAAAGGACTTTTTGAAAAACAATAAAAAGAAAACAAAAGTCGATTCCTAAATAATTATTTTAAAGAAATGCATATTAACTCGAATAAATTAGTAATATTATGTAGTATTTAAGTATAATACGAAAAGGAAAATTGTTGCACCAACATATTTGGAGGTCCTTTAACAAAGTAAAATTGGATCGCGGGGGTAAGTATGAGTTAGGACTAATTAATTAACAATTTATTTAATCATCCCTCTTATTCGTGTTTATAAAAAGAGACATAACAATATGTTTTTGTGTTATCCAGAGAGCATAAAATAATCTTGTCCGGGAATTTAAAAAATCATGGCTTCCCTAACTGAGTAGTATGTATACATTCCCGGTGTGACCTATTGGTGTGCGCATTTAAATCGTTACATTCATTTGAAATTCAATAGCTCCCCACAATTATTCCTCACAAACGCGTCATTGCTCGTGTTTTTTACAACACATCACGCCCATAAACAAGAGAGCTAGGCAGAGATAACCGATTTGGCATCATAGCATTTCTTTACACTGTAAAAGAAACTAATTTGAAATGAAATTCATAATTAGCAAGTTTCTATTAACAAAAAACTCCGCACTAAAAGCTCAGCACTCGCTTTAGAGCGAGACAAACGTATGCGAAAACAATACTTTTGTCTCGCTCTGAACCGAGTCCGGATTATGCCTTAACTGTCGCCCGCGACTTCGTCCGCACGGCATTTAAAAATAAAACCTCTCTATGTTCTACATTTGTGCCAAATTTTATTAAGACCCCTGAGCCGTTTCGGAGATACCATCAAACAAACATCCATTAAGCCATCTAAACATTCGCATTTATAATATTATATATATAGTAAGATGAAATTAAATAACAATGTAAGAGACAGGTGTGCCATCACTATCTCTGCCTACGCCACTGGGTAAAAGGCGTAAGTTTTTCTTCATAATAATTCAATCACTTCGAAAACTATGACATGTCATTTCTGCAATTAATTTTTAGTATCTTTTTGTAGTTTCTTATTCTTGTCATAATTTGTCAACTTCGCGATCCCAAAAGAACATTTGAATAAATAACTGTAACCGTTTAACGGTCTTTGTCCCTAAACAGTCAAATTAGATTCCATACTATTAACACGAAAAAATACGTTAAATATGTATACAAAAAATGTCAGGTAGGTTAAAAAATGGGAGATAAAAAAACTGGCAGAAAATCAAAATTTACATTTTATTTAGAACAGATTATAATCACAGATTAAATATCGACTGTCAAATCTTTCCGTTTTGTTTTTGAAATGAAGTCAGTCGTATTTTTTTCGTTTTAATTTTATTATACAGTGACACCAATGTAAATGGAAACGATAATTTTCATTGTTTAAATACAAATACATTAATAACATTTTTAAAGTATTTGATGAGATACTCGATGAGATTTTCGTTAGCGTGTATTTCCACTGACACAAACATGTATGAAAACATAGACCATCTCTCTCATTTTCCTTTATAAAAACTTTGATAGTAATACATTTTAATAAATAAATAATATTTGGTATCGATGTTATGTCAATGGACACTTATAAATTTCTGTAATAAAATAATTCTAATTTCTATAAACTTATATATATATAAAATTCACCAATCCCAATGTTAGTAACCATACTCCAACAAAATGGTTGGTTACAATTTTTACAAAATTTTATATGAATATTCAGTAGGTCTGAGCATCAGTTACAATCTATTTCTTAATCCTGTACGGACGGAGTCGCGGGCGACAGCTAGTAACTTTATATAAGTATCATATGATTATGAACCCTTATTGGATCACTTTGTTGTCTGTCCGTTTGTCTGTCAAAACCATTTTTTTATTTTAATTATATGTTTTGCTGCAGTTCTCTGTCAAAAATTTTACCATGAACATAGCTGCTGAAATTACAACAAATTATTCCTTAAAAAAACTTTTAAAAAATTCATATAAAATTATTTTTATTTCAAAATTAAAAATATATTAGAATAAAAGATAATATGGTTTTAAAACTGTACTACTTTGTTTTGATAAATGATATATATTTCTATGCATTATTTATTTACTTGTCAGATTATTATACTCTTTACTCTTGTGGATGGAGAATGTGTGTAAGGCCTAAGTGTGTAGTGTGCACACACCTTTATCCCGGTACAGCCTGTAGGGTAGATATGATATCAGTATTTGCACAGTCTATCTTGATAACTCCAACATGCACCAAACAAGTTGTGCTTCAACGGTTTTATATTGGTAATATTTATTATTTTGAGGTTATTTTTAAATTGGAGCGCACTGACCCTATATCCATCTTTTTTTCTACTAAAAATAACTTAATTATACTTTGTCTTTCTTGATCTGAGTTTGAATTAACTTTATACTTATATAAATTTTTATATTGAATTTGTAAAATAAATTTGTTTCTAATACTAATATTGTAAATGTGAAAGTTTAGATCTATATCTAGAAAGTATCTCCAGAATATCTGAAGAGATCTCGCTGCCATTTGACATAAACATAGAACATAATAAGAAAGAACACATAGGCTACTAATTAAGTTTTTTTCGCAGGCGACAGGATGTTAATAATCTAGCTTATTTAATAGAGATTTTACGAATTACACTACAATTTTCTCAAATAAGTGTAGGTTAAAACATGATGTAATTGATGAAATTAATATAGTTTTAATAGTTTCATCTGTGGATGAATATACTCCCCCTTTAAAAAGTCCAATTAAATAAAAACTTTATACTTGTATTGAAAACTGGTCATAGTAAAACTTTAAAACCTACTATAATTGAAGTAACAAAAATAGAAAATTTTAAATTTGAATATAACGCCACCTGGTGAAAAATCAAAATAACAATTTTGTGAAATAATAAAATTTGACAATGGCTATGTATCTACAAACCCTTAATTCGATCCCTACCATGTACCTATATGTTTTTAGAATTTCGAAATTCATATGTATATTTCATATTATCTTTTGGTAAAGGAAAACCGTACACATAACTTGTACATATTTGTGAATAAATTTAAAGATTCATGTAACAAATGCACACAAGGCAAGCGTAGCTGACTATGGCCTGGTCACACCCAATTTAGAGTAGGTTAAATCGCCTTGGTGAGGATATACGCAGGGAAATATTTATAATATTGTAACAAAGTTCTCTGTTATGAATTGAACACCTTGTTATCAGTATATTCAGTTAATATCACTTCATATTTTAAAATGGTTTTTAAACAATTCTATAAGATATCTGATTGCTGCTAATAAATATCCTTTTAGCGGTCAGTTCAATGTTAAATCGTTTAATTAGAAATAGACAGTATACAAAAACATAACCTAAACAACAGCTGTCAAAGTGAATACATAGCTAATTATATAAATGTTGTTTTTCATCCACTGACCTCTAACTGCTGTGTATTACATTTATCTTCAAGTTCCTTGAACGAAGAGCTTATTCCAGTTTCTTCTGAATCAACATCGTCCCCTGCATTCTCGGATAACACTTCCGAAGCAAAATTTGTAATCTGTCCCTTCAAACTATTAAAACTTTGATTCAAATTCAGCCACGACATTTTGTACGAAGGACAGTATTGTTACATAAAACAGGAATTCAGAAGAATAGATTCACGAGAAAAATGTTATGATTGAAAGGATGTAAACAATAAATAAATAACATTTTTTTGCATTTGACAGGACTTGTCCAGTTGGCAAAACAAGTTGACGTTAGTTATTTTTTAAAGACGATTGTTCCGCTTCACTTCAAGGTTTCCCTCTTTTAATCAGTTCTTGAAAAAACTAAAGGCACGATATAGAACTTTATATTAAAGTTTCATAGAAGTTATATCCAATATTTATAACTTGAATTATTAATCCAATTTCATTGTAAAATTGCCTTCTCTTCTGAGTAAGATCAGCAAAAATTATTGGAGGTATACTCTGTTCTGGAAAGTTGAGAAAGTTTTGTTTTAAATGCGTTAAATACTAATTTTCCGAAACCTTCGTAATAGCAAAGTAAATAGTATCTGGAATAAAAGTAAAATAAAAGACATATTTTGGAGGATATGTTTTAAAGTAAAAAAAGAAATATGTATAAGAAAAACTAATGCTCAAATCATTGCTAGTCGAAAATTGCAATGTTTGACGAATTACTAAATCAAAGCTATTATTTGTAAATAATCAAGTGGCACGGTAATTATGAATATTTACGAAATTAAATAGGAAAATAGGTCATTGTGTTTTCCAACTAAACGCTTTATGCCGTCTGTGGATGTTGCGTCATGCTGGCGGCCGCCATGATGGCTGTCGAACAAGCACTGGTAGCCAAGTTTGACGTAGTGTCATCTTTACTTAATTTTCCCTTAATTTCTTGACAATTTAGAGATTATTGAAGGGTTTTTTGTTCAAAATAACTGTTAAATGTTGTGTACTATATTTATATAAACATCAAATATCAGTGACGGTTTAATTTATGATCTTAATTGAAAGCATAAAAAATGGAGCCAAAACTAACAAACACCGCGAGCCTAAAAACATATTCTCGCTCAAAATGTTGGAGAGTTTCTAATCCAAAGGATATTAAAAGTGAACCTTTGACGACAAAAGAAGCTGTGAAGTATTTGTTGCAAGGGTCATTGAAGAGAAGGGTCTGTCGGTTTTGCTTAAGTGCGACGACCTCTTTATCAGAATTAGATGAGATTTTGGAGGTGGCGAATTCCGGAACAATATTTCAAGTGACCATACGGGATATGGTAGTGAGCTTCTACCCATTTAAGGTTGTTTTCAATTTCGTACCCACATTTAATACTGATAGATATGATTTTTCAAATTACTAATACTATGAAATAAATTTCCTGTGGAAGAGGAAGTAAAATTCCTTATTTTTTAATATTTACATTAGAACTGTACAAGCCATTTTCTTAAGTAGGTCTAACATTTAAAAATAATAAAATCAAGCAATACAGCTTGAAATATGTCTATGGATGTTGTGTTAAAATTTAACTACTTTTTCTGTTGAAATTGTAACGGTTTTAAAACTTACATCATATATAAATGATGTTAAACTCTATTCTCACATTTATGTGTGTATTACAAATACTCAATATAATATTTAACTAAACTAGCTGTCGCCCTCAACTCCGGAATTAAAAACAAACTTAATATGTAGCCTATGTGTTCTTCCAGACTACATTCTACATCTATGCCAAATTTCAGCAAGATCCATGCAGCCTTTCCGGAGACACCTTTAAACAAACATTTAACCATCCATCCATCGAAACATTCACATTTATAAAATTAGTAAGATTGAGTACCCTCTCTTATATTAAATTAATAATTGTATTATCATTCCAGATATCGGATGACCCCAATTTCCCAAATAAAATCTGCGGCAAATGCCTAGATAAGACAATCAATTGTTACTTATTTACCCAGCAATGTGAAAGAACAGAACGGGCAATACGTAACTGCTTTATTGATATCAGTGAGAAATTCGATAAACTAGACCCAATTGAACGAGTGAAAAAGAGGGGACGACAGAAATTAAATCCCAACCACAATATAATTCATGTTGAACATAAAAATGTTATAAATTATGCAGATCCAATAATAAATATTGTGAATGCCGGCTCATCACTCATAACCAATAACAATGATGTTCAAATTAATGATTTAGAATGTCCACGGTGTTGGCAAGTGTTTACCAATGTAGAATCTCTTGTTAATCATGAGAAAATACATCCAAAATCAATGTGGTACAATTGTAAACTCTGCGGAAATTCTTTCGTAAAACATTCACATTACAAAAAGCATATGAAACAATTTCATGGTAAAGAAAGCTCCAAAATAAGTACAGACAAGCAACCATTTCGATGCAATGAATGTGGTACTGTTTGTGAAGAGTTAGATAATTATTTACAACATATTGAAAAGCACAAGTTTAAGAATGTATTAGAGCATTTAGTTGAGAAGAAAATGGATAGTTTATGCGGAGTTTGTTTAGACAAAGGAGATACTATGACAAGATTAAACGAAACTTTATCTTTGCACGGAGGATATCCAGAATTATCCGGAGAGATGACTGTGGCTACAGTTTTAACTGCAACAATACCAGAGGTATGTAAACCAATTATTTTTGACACATATCATCACACACAAATGGCATACATTGATTATTGTAGGGAAGCAACAAGGTCCAAAACAAAGACGGATCTTTGGTGACTTTCATAAAGACTGACAAAATCTTAGATTGTATATATTTTATAAAGCTACTTATGCATTGTTCGGTTCTGTGCTGCGCTTTCTATGAAATTGTCAATCTGTTCAACGATATGATTAATTTCTTGTATAAATGTTGACATTTAAGCCTTAAAAATTTAGGCTTATAATTCGGGAATATGTATTCCTTTATTGAATAATAAAATAATCCAAAAATGTTATTTTAAAATCATTAATTATGTAATTTTATACTGTCTATTATGCTAATAATGAAGAATTCCTCAACTAATTTAGATTTGTGGGTAGATTCATATCTTATACAAACATACCAAAAGTGTTGAAGTGTTTTCACTTTTATTGTTAAAATCTTGTCTCTTGTTTTTTGGAGATTGTTGCAGTGATTTTCTAATCCTTTTCTAGAAATCACACAAATATGATGAATTCCTCGTCTCCAAAGAAGCAAATCGAATAACGATTACCAAGAAAATTGCCAAAAACTCTATCATAGCTAACACTAAACATGATGAGATTAATAAAGTGACAAACACTGTTGATATAGTACCAATGAAATCAATTACTATTAATGATACTTTTAGTTTCTCAAATCCCATAATAATATCCGATAAAATTGTAAAAGAAATAGTCGAAAAAGATAGCTCAATCTTTGAGCAAGATAAATGTGTAGACATTACATCCCTACATATAGATATTGATAAGAAATATAATGATAGAGTTAGATTCCCATTTTCATTTTCTAATCCCATAAAAATATTGGACACCAGTCAAACTAATAATGGGGAACAAGAGACAAATATTACGCCATCCAATACAGTTAAACAAGCAGAATGCGTTGAAATAGAACCTAATAACATATCCACAAATCCCATTTTATGTATTACTTGTTCAATATTTAAAAAGGCCCAGTGTGAGAAATGTATTGGAAACACATCCACCAATAATGAAGGTATTAAAAAACCTAATGAAGAAAATCAAAGCTCACAAAAACCTTGCAAAATGTGCTGGATTTTTGGCAAAGTAGGCAAATGTAATTATTGTGAGAAACAAATTGATGATAAAACTAAACAAAATGAAGATATTGTTGACCAACAAGAACCCGAAAGGGCCAATATTCAACCTGAGAAGACCATCACAATTTCAAATAAAGCTATTGAAAATGAAAATATACCGAAACAACAAAATATTGAACCTGAGAAAATTAACCCAATGCAGAAGGTAAATACTGATCCTATAAAAGACAGCCCAACAAGGAAGAGAAAAATTGAACTTGAGGAAATCGTCACACAGGAAAATATCGAACGTGAAAATGTCATCCCAAGTAAACAATATGTTGAACCTGAGAAAGTTATCCTAACCCCAAAGATAAATCTTGAACCTGAAGGAATCACAACTAGAAAGAGAAAAATTGAAGCTAATGAAGTCCCAAATCAAAAAGTAAATACTGAAGACCTCATTACAAGTAGGAAGAGAAAAATTGACCCTGAAATTGAAGTTCCTATTGTAAAGAAATCAAAATGGCAATGTGAAATCTGTTTGACTAATAATGATAACAGAGAAAGATGCTTTTGTTGTGGCGAGAAAAGGTTACAAGATTCAACGAATTTTTGTTTCAATTTTAGGAAAGTCGATTATTCACCTAAACGTAATAAGAATAACCAAGATGCTGTCAAAAATAACGACCATAGTGTTACAATTAATAATGAAGAAAATGAAAAAACTGAACAAGTTACTATTAAAGAGGATAAACAAGAAGAGAATAAAGTTGAAGAAATAAACGTATCGATACCAAATATTTCTATACCAAATACCGAAGTAGCAGCTAATGTTATAAAAGAAGACACAAATCAAACTAAAATACAAAACGTAGCGAAAGAAGAGGAAATGGAAGTAAATTTTGACGAAGGCAATGATGCAAAAATTGTCGGAAATGTCATCAAATTTGACGGAAATGTTGCTAAATTTGGGAATATCAGTGGCAACTTTGGAAAAATCGACAATACGATTGGCAAAACACCAGTCATGCCTAATGTTAATTTTAATTTCGGTACATGTTCAACTTTCACGCCGTCAATGCAAAGTTACACTCCACTTGTAATGCCCAGTTTCGGTCCACTAACAACAATGTCGCCGTCACAGTTTTCGTCGCTTAGTTTTAATATCGGCACACAAGATAATAAGCCAAGAAAGATATTAAAGAACATGAGACATAGAAGACAATTGAGAAAATAGACATTTTATTTAACTACCTATTTGTTTTATGACTACCCACTTTATCGATTGTAATCGGAATAATGATGCTATTTTTTTAAAATACGAAAGTTAATGAGATTATTTTGTTTTGACTGATTTTATTTATTTTTCTCAATGAATTATTGACTTAGAGATATATCTTTTCATAGTTTAGGTACCTTTTAGTATTGTAATACATCTTTCTTCTAAATGTAAGAATATTCGATATCGATGCTTATTTATTTATTATTAAGCAAAGATTTTGCAGATAATTACAGTTCTTAGTATTATTAGATTGCTTAAAAATATTATATTGCAAAGTGTATTTGTGTTTGGCTTATATTGTAAGATTTCATTATTTATCTTGTATAAAGAAACGTAATTATTCCATAAAATGTAAGTTAATTCATCTAAAAACAAGAATATGTAAAATTTATATAATCTATTTTATAATACTACATTAATATTGAATACTTTCACTTACCGATGATTTCCGAGACCAAAGTCTTTGTATGACATACCTCATTATCACTGTCATTATCTTTGATAAAATACAGATAAGAATATGTTTTAAACGGGGATTTTGGTCTCAGAAACCTCCGGTAATGTTTGTTCAACTCTCGGGCACGTTCATAGTCATCAAATGTTTGCGCGATCGTACACGTGCGTAACGTAATTTTTCGAAACCCGGCGATTTCAGCCACCAGTCGCTCTCAATCTATTCAAAGATTCTAAGAAAAATCGTTGCAATTTTCCATAGCAACCGCGCCCCGAGTTAAATATGAACAAGCACTTAGCCTTAATTCGTACGGGCGTTTTTTAACCCCGCGTTAAAACTCAGCGTTGGCGTTTCTCGAGCATTAGACGTTTTAAATTTACTCTTGTTCCGTTCACCTAGTGCTTAAAATGCACTGTGTGAAAAAAGCGGCGCGATTTTAAAGGCCCTGCCGTAACAGATACATGGAAATGCATTTGTACTTTTTGAACGCTTAATTAACGCGCGATACAAAAACACCCGTTAGAATAAAGGCATATAGTCAATTTTTAGTGTTTTTTTCACTGACTTATTTGCTAAGTATTTCGTGATTTTTGATCTCATTAGATGTTAAGAAAATATTAACTTCATATTTATTTAATAGATGCCTTTTTTTGGTCAGTTAATTTTGTGTAAAACACTGCTTTCTTTAGTGATTGTGTAATTCAGTGTTTAGATGTCAATAAATAATAAAACATATTGTATTGTTTTATTTAGTAAACTGGAGAAAAATGTTATTTACCCCGTTATAGTAAAAAGTAAAAACTTTGGGAAAATATGATAAAATGTCCTCGCTATTTTTTTGTTAGATCTAGCTATGTGAACAAATCTTGGATTCCAAAATGTTAGTAAATATTCTTTATACCATATCGATGTGCTTTTTGGTGTAAGCGCTTTTATCGCTTTTTATATATTTATTTTAAAAAAAGTTTTTTTTATTTTTGTTGCAGATGAATACAGTACATAACTACACTGGGACAAAAATATGCGAAAAATGCTTTAATCATGCATTAACATCATATATATTTATAAGTAAGATTAGATATATTAGAAATAGATTGAATACATGTATTAGTCTTATGTTAGACAATTTAAATAGAATAGATAAACCAGAAAACAATGTTATGGTAGAAATATCAATGCAAACAATACTTCCGATAACAGAAAAGAAATCTTTAGATGATGAATATATGGATGATGATGTCGACGAATCACAATTGAAGATCGAAGTATTGGAAGATGAATTTAGAATAGAATCGGAAAGTTCTGAAGAAAGTTTAAAATCTGAAAATACTGATGATGAAGAAATTGGAACTGTGTTATTTGATGATTTGAAGAAAATGCTTTATCCTGTCAATAAGGAAAGGAATGATAAAATAGATGGAATCAAAAAGGAGGAAACTGAGAAAATAGTAAATGGATATCAGGATAATGAAGTCCTTTCTCCAACAGATAGTGATGTAGAAAAATCAATAATAAGCGACTCAGAAAAATCGCCAGAAAGTGACATAGAAATATCTCCAAAAGCAAATGACATAGAAAAAACACTTGATAAATCTCCAAGTGACATAGAAAAATCAATAAATGACGATTTTTCAATACTAGATAACGTAAAACCACCTGTAAATGACATTTGCAGTGAATTCCTAACATTTAAAAAGAAACCAAAACCTAAAAGAAAGTACCGAAGACCGTATTTCACGTGTCCTTACTGTAGTAAACATTTCATCTCGGATTATTTCCTCAAAAATCATGTTTTGAAACATATAAATACGAAAATTAATTGCAGTGTTTGTTGTATGCCAGTTAAATCTAAATTCCATCTATTTGAACATATGAAAATGATTCATTTACCTCATCAAAAGGAATATAATATTTGCGATACATGTGGAAGAAGTTTTACTGACATCAAAAAGTTTTTATTACATAAAAAGACACATATGACTAAAGTATGTCCATTATGTGATAAGTTGTTCAGATCTCAGAATACTTTCGATAGTCATTTCCAAAGACATGCTGGCAAATTCAATGTACGTAAGATTTCTAGGTCCCAAACGTGCAGTTTTTGCGAGAAAGAATTCACAAACGAAAATGAACTTTCACTGCATGTTAATAAATCCCATTTGCAAATTAAACCTTACAGTTGCGATATGTGCGAGAAAAAGTTTTATACCGAGCAAAATTTGACTAGTCACAAGAAGTTACATGGCTTCAGATCTAAAGAGACTTGTGAATTTTGTAGTAAAATATTCAAATGTAGAAGAGATTTGGTCGCTCATGTTAGGAAACATATTGGTATCAAACCTCATCATTGTCAAATATGTAGAGAATCTTTTTACTCGGAAACGAGTCAACAAAACCATATGAAGGTGGTGCACGGTGGTAAATATTGTTGTCGACTCTGCAAGTCAGTGTTTAATAGGAAAGTGGATGTTAAAACTCATGTTAATGTGGCCCATAATGCTATGTAGCAGTATGGGGTACTAAAATAGTAATTGGTGCTATAACTGTGGATGAAGTAAAAAGGTTTTATGACTATTGTGGAGTGGTGGAAACAAAGATAGTGAAGTGGTCATCAGGTTTGTATGGAAATAGGGATCATGCTATTAGTGTTTCAAGGGTATGGATGAAGAATGGACATATGTTCAACTTTGAGTAACATTAAATCTGTGCGCAGCTCAATCCAAAGCATAATAAATACATATAATATAATTTTATTTATTATATAAACATAGATTTATAACCTAAAGATACCTAATCCAAAGCACAAAAATGAGGTTAAAATATTTATCCGCACTTTAGGCTTTAACCTTTTGTTAGGATAGATTTCCAAGTGTTGTCATCTACAAATTTTGAAAATCGACTCTCATTTAGACGTTAATCTTGTATGACTCAATCTATAGGTTTTATATCTATGTATATTATGTTTAGTTTTACATATGAATATGTTAAATTTTCATGAAAATTATTTATCATTGTGTCAAGTTATTCATGACATCTTCATTTATACATAGTATTTTTATGTTTATCTATATCTTTGATTTTTTTTATTCTTTCGTCTTGGAAATGTACATTTTTAGGTTAGTTACAATAACACTATGGTAGATAATTGTAAAACATTTTTTCTATTATAATGAAGTTTAATATATTATCAGAGTTGCTATATATTAAAATAAATTAAAAAAATATATGACGATATGAAATGTTATATTTCTCGTATATAAAATATGTATTGAGTTTTTGGTGGTCTTATACGTACCCTATTGGTTAAGACATTTATTATTAAAATTTCTGAATATGAATTTATATTAACATTGATGTTAAAAGGAACTTGACCCATTAATCCAAAAATAATTTTGCTTGATATAGCTATTAAAAGCTTGTGAAAAAAAAACTGAGTTAATGAGGCCTTAAAATTAAGCAATATGATTTAATTATTTTTTTTTCTATTTGAGGGTAGTTGAAGATTTACCATTAAATTTAGACAATTTGTTTGAATTTTGCAACTCTTGTAAAGTTATCTTTACGAAGTATCTTTCAGGAATTAAATATTTTTGTATATCATTTTACATAAATTTATTTTTAAATATAGTTTATACTGCGAGTGCTTAGATAATTATGGTTACGTTAAATATTAGAGAAATGCAATGTAGTTATAGATTTTAATATTAAGTAAATAGTTAGTTTTATTTTTTAATTTCAAATATAATGCTTAAAACAGACTTGTTTATTTATTCAACCTTAATATCCTCATATATTACTTTTAATTTAGATAAAACAAAACCAATAGCGGAAGTGCGTGGTCCGTTTTGAATTCTCCTCTCATCCTTGATGGTCGTGATCTTTTCTGTTTTGTTATTTGGTGATTAAAAGTTTAAAATAAACAATTGTTGGCCAAAAGAAGAAAATCTACCATAAACTACCACTGATAAAATATTTTTTAATATGGCAGCATTGATTGTGGAATAACCAACTGTCACTGTCATTGATGTTATTAAGGTTATGTTTTTAATTTTCTTCTTACGTTGTTAACTTGTACTAAGAAATGTTAGACACAAAAAATATTTTAGATATTATTTTAAATTCTAATCGACGCAATGTAGTTTGCTTCCTTTGCTTAAAAAGCCGAAGCAACAGACTTTTAAGTATATATACAGAATTTGATGTTTTTGGTGATTGCTTCAATTTAAAAATATCTTTAGCCGAAATAATGAAACAATTATCTCCGTCCCATGTAAGTATATTCCGGCAATAATGCCAGGTTGTTATTAAAAAGAGCTTATTGATCTTTTCAACTACAATCTTTAAATTTATATTTTTTTTCAGGAAATTTTGTTCGGCCAAGCTTGTACAGAATGTACAAATCTGTTATTAAAAATCTTTCTTAAATTATACAAATACAAAAATAATATGAAAATACTCGATTCTTTTATTAAAAATCTTGACAGACAAGTGCAAGATATAAATACAGAAAGCATTAACAAGATATTCATAAGTATGAACCAACCTGAACATAAAATCATAGAAGAGAAATCTAAACCATCAATAAATAAGTCTAAAAAGATTTTTAATTGTATTAAATGTGATATAAAATTTATCTCAAATGATTTACTTCAAGAACATAAGAATAGCTTCCACAAAAAAAGTGAAGCTACAATTTGTGATGTCTGTGGTCAAAAATTAAAATCTCCTACCTCTCTAAAAGCTCATATTAACTGCCATAAAGTAAAAGAGTGTCCTTACTGTTTTAAAACATTAAAATGCCATTCACACTATAACATACATATAAAAAGACATACATCAAATGTTAAAAGAAAGCGTAATAAACTATACTACACCTGCAGTAATTGTAATTATCAATCTTTAAATAAAAAAACTTTAGAAGCTCATATCAACAGAATACATTTACATATTAGGCCTTATGTCTGTGAAACTTGTGACAAAGGATTTTATAAAAATAGTCACTTGACAGAACATGTCAAAATCCATTTACAGATTAAAAATAAAACATGTGAAGTCTGCGGTGAACATTTTGTTAATGAAAAGACATTGATTGAACACCAAAGACTCCATTCTGATGATAAACCATATGAGTGTAATATATGTATGAAGAGGTTTGTTACATCCGGAAGAAGATCTGACCATATCAAAAGAAGTCATATGGAGAAAACTGAATCTTGTATATTCTGTGACAAAAAGTACAGTCTGAGGAAAGAATTAAATAGACATATTAAGAAATCTCATAATGAAATTCCACTAAATATTGACAATAACTTTGATATAAATATATCAAATTATAAATTTGATGACTCAATTTTACCAATCAGTTAATAAATTGTTTTATGTAAAAATAAGTTTTTTGTTTTTTCTCTTTGTGTAAACGCACCCTTATTGAATTAGAAATGTCAAGAGTAGTTTTTTCTTATTTATCGCCTTTTAAATTCTCTATGTTCAAAATAAAAAAGACAAGGCTGTATGGCTTAGTTCCTTTGCCTGCTCTTTCGAGTGAATAATAAAAACAACAACATATCGCCTTTTAAAAAGTTAACAGTATCTTAATATTTGTACCTGTTTTAATCCTTCGAAACACTTTTAAGAACATATTCTGATTATATCTAAAATGGAAATAAAACTAAATATTTAAAAGTTGAATAATTTTATTACAAAATAAGGTACAAAAGGAGGTTTCACAGGATTCACAAACACATAGAAATGTCTAGAGTAAAAATGAGTATTTTTATAAATCAAGAGGCATAGGAAAAAAAAAGAAAAATATGGATCTATGTTTCATATATTCATTGTCTTCCTTATTTAATATTGTTCATTAATCTTATTTCATGGATGTTAACTATGGAATAAAATGAATAATTTTTTTAAAATAAATTATGGAGTTTTAGGTTATAAATAATAGTATTCATATGTTTGAAATTACAAAACCTATCTATGTCTACCCTACTTTAAATCGGTACACTATTTCATGATAAATATTTTATAATACAACATGTATTAGAAACAGAGTAATATTTCATAAAAAAAACTTATAAATTCGTTATAAAATAAATTTATGACATGTACCATAAATATTTTAATTTACATCATTATGGTAACTTTATTGGTAACTTAATTTAAATGTTGCCATTATCTAGTAGAAAAATAATTTGATTTTTAAAATTATTTTAGACAACAACAACATTATTAAGAGTAACCTTATTTGTCAAATTATTTTTAACCCCGATGTACAATCTCTTTTTTTTCTTTTTTGAGTTTTTTATTTAATATTTGTAGCCGCCTCCTTGGTTGGCGGGTAAATAAGCTTGGCCTTGGTTCGGTGAGCTGATAGAATTTGTATTCGGCTCAGGATACCTCGCCTCTCCTTCGTAAGATACCTGAAAATTAAATAATAGCAAAAATAAATTAGCTACTTGAAAATTATCAAGAACAGCGGTAAAACACACACATTGATGTGATATTTTAGACCGCTTTTCTTGATCTTTTCTTCATTCTAAGGTAAAGGTTGCATATTACATTTTTTCCTTGAAATTTTATTCTGTATAAGCTAGCGCTTGACCATGATCCCACCTGATGTTAAATGATGTGGTCAAAATATGGTGCGCGCTTTTTTAGTAAAATGAAATGTCAACTAACATCAGCATTAAATCCGTTCTTCCAATCAGCAGTGTACTTCACGATTTGGACTCGGCCGTCTGGCAGCGCGACTCTGTACTCGCCCCGAGTGATGTCACCATCAGATACCGCGTTATGTTGATAGTCATTGCCATCTTCATTCACCGCGTACGCAAAGTCGAACGGCATGCCTGGCTCGTGGTGATGGTGGTGGTCGTGGTGGTCATGATGGTCGTGGTGGTCGTGGTGGTCATGGGGATGGTCTGGCTGTTGACAGAATTAGAAGATAAGTACACAATAAACGTAGTCTGCCTATTTAAAGTCCATTCGCACCGAAGCGATTCGATACGGGATTTTAATACATTTTTAAAATTCCTTATAAATCGTTTCGCTTTTGGATCTGATGCAACAGACAGATCTAGAGGGTTTGACTTTTAAACTATAGGTTCTAAATTCGATTCCCGCCATTTTAGAATTTCATATGTAGAGGTTAAGTTGAGTTTTATTTTTCATTTTTGAAATGTCAACATACCTGCCTTTGATTGTTATTTTTACAACTTGTAGATCAATAAAAATCTATTGGAATTGTATCGTAAATAAAACTTAACGATTATATGCATGAACGAAATGTCGGCAGGTCGAACTGCTTTGGTGTTAAATATTAAAACTTAATCCGAGATGCGTCTGGTAACTTTTTTTTATTTATATATTGTCTGAGAGAATGAACAATTTACTATTGGTTTCTTAGACCAAAATATCTCTCCCTGTCATTACCCTTAACAAAACAGAGATAATAATATTTTAAACGGAGTTTTTGGTCTCAGAAACCCATGATTATTGAAGGAATTTTAATATGATTTAATACTGAATATTTTTACTTTGTCGTTCATAACATTTAAAGTTATTTCTTTCTATTTAAATAATACTTTCAACGTCTTATATCTTTTTAGCTTATCGTGGTTTTTATATATATTTGTGGAGCCAATGAAATCCAGGTATTAATGTGTAAGTTTCATATATATAAGACTCGCTATTATTTAACTATAAATAAAGACAGTATGGTGATAGCTTTGGTGTTGTTTTTTTAATACATGTAGTAGAAAGCATTCTTGAGCTACTAATCATGGGTTTCTGAGTCAATAATCTCCGTTTAGGGAACATTTCCACACTACGTGACCTATTTTTTTAGTTTTTTTTAAGACTACACGCATACTTAACTTACTAGTGAATAATGTATTATGAAAAAGAGCAACAACGTCACAAAAACCTGAGCCCCCCCCAAAGCCGCTCCCGTGACTGACCGTAGTATTTTAAAGACTCCGCTAACTCCCGTCCTCTCCCCTAAATAGATCACGTAGTATGGTTACGTTCCTATAGATGAAAAAATGGATAACGATTATTATATAGAGATTATAGTGTCAGAAACCCTTACTAAATGACTTTTTTCTCATATTGTAAAAGTTTGATTTGATAGATTTTGATATGTTACAGCAAATAGATGGAAAATGAATGATGTAGGTGAGTTTGTAGGAATTTGTTAATTCCAGTACAGATATTTGATAGATGTGAGAGCGTCTGTTTACTCAATTTTTTTACTTTTTTAATCTATTTCAAATTACTTAAATAATGATTTTTTTATTCTCAAGAGTACGGTGAACGGTTATCAAGTAAGTTGTTCTAACATGGATGGATAGTATCATGGTTTTTTTTATATTAAATGAGATATCCAACAGAATTAACTAAAAGTAAAATATTTTTTAAGGTGTGGAAAATAGTGATATGAAAAGATGTAAGATTTTTTTCATTACATTTTTAAAATTAATATAATTGCAAAAAATGTTGCATAAAAATGTATTTTTTTAATTTAAGCGCGTGATCTACTTAACAAGAAGTCAGGACGCCATATTGTAACGAAATGCACAACTAACCAGCCGATAACAAGTAATTAATTGTCATTTAGTTTTTTTTAAAACATAAATATAAAATAAACAACGATAAAAATACTGAAAAAAAATGTGTGTAGAAATTTATTGTGATTATTTTCTTTTAGCGGATCCTAATTATATTCCAAGTAAGTAATAATTTATATAAAAAGTAATAAAATGTAGAATAAAAAGTTATTGATGATTTTATCTTACAGATAGTGAAGAAGGTAAGAACTTTTATAGCATAAGTAGCTGTCGCCCGCGGCTATCCGCGCGGAATTAAAAAAAAACTTAATAAGTAGCCTATATGTTCTCCCAGACTATATTCTACATCTATACAAAATTTAATCAAGATCCGTTCATGCATTCTGGAGATGCCTTCAAGCATCCATCCATCCAAACATTCGCATTTATACTATCAGTAAGAAGTAAAATATAGAATTTTAAAAATATTATGTCATATTTATGTAATTTGTTTTCAGATGACAACGCTGCAGCTAAAAAGTTGACGGCAGAAGATGAGGATCCAGCTATTGAAGGTAAGTTTTCATTTATGAATGGTACCGTACGTTTCTGAGACCAAAATCTATGTATAAAACATAACGTCATCTCTGTACTTGGAAAAAGAAACAAAGATATGTTTTAAACGGGTATTTTGTTTTCAGAAACCCACTGTAACTAAAGATTTTAATTATAGAAATATCTCAGATCAGAAAACAAAGTTGTGTTATTAGCAATGAAATAGGCAATTATTTCGCTACTCAGGACAATCCCTAAGTGTTGATATAATGAGAAAATTTCACTTAAAATCTCATTTAAAGTCATTACTGAGTAAGGCAATTAAATACAGACATGAAATAACTGTTTAAAATTGATTGTTTTGTTCCAGACGGCGAACCCAAGAAAGTGTATAAACCGCCATCTACCGGCAATAGTCCGGACCATTATATAGACGACGATTGATTAAAAAATGTATTATAATAAATTATCCTTTCTTTCAACGTGTATTGATTCTCTTTCTACTATAAATTTAAAAATTTAATTGCCTTTTCTACAATGAATAAAGGAGATGCATACTTTCTCTACCTATAGGTGCATCCATTCCCCTGTCAAATCCATTTTCTTTTCTTATCCTTCATTTGCAAGAAAAAGGGTGGGGACGAGTACTAGCATATGTCCTTCGGTACGCATACCCATTAGAAAACGCGGAATTATAATCAAATAAGGATATAATTAGAGACAGTGACTCAGCAGTTAAGCACTTCTCTTATGACCTGCATGTACTGGGTTCGAATCCCGCCATGTACCAATGTGTTTTTATATTTTTATATATGTATCCGAAGTTGATACGGTGAAGGAAAACAGCGTTATGCTGCACATATCTGTGAAGAAATTCAAAGATTGAAGTCAACCGGCACTGGGTAGCACTGTAGTTCAATTAAAAAGATGTATAACTAACCACATGCGGCGTTGGAGTGGGTTGTGGCTTGGGGAAGGGTCTGGTGGTGGTGACTGGCGGCAGGTACGGCTGTGGTCGCTGCGGTGGTGACGTCACCGGCGGCTGAGGAGGCTGCGGAGGCTTCTGTTAAATAAAAAATACTAATTAAAAAAAAAACGAAACTAATGTAAGAATGAAAGGACACCTCGCTCGTCAAAATCTGATTTTTAGATTTGAAACTGATTGACTTAACTTTTTCTTTATGTAAGTTAAGTATTAGTTAACTACGAATGAAACTTATGTTTTAACTTTAATAATGGATTACAAGAATCATATTTCTAAATTAATATAAATAAGAATAGTACAGGTTATAGAAACTCCTCTCTAAAAACCATAAATATAATCTAAATTAATCTGTCATTACAATTATGTATAAACACTCGAATCTGGATAAGCCAAAAACCTCTAAAAGCGAGAGTTATTGTTCGGTCCCAATGTCCATAAGCGAGAAACTCTATTTTGAAACTTCTATAAGCGAGAAAAATTTAACTTAGACTCTTGGTTATCCAAGTTGGATTATATTCGTATACAACTCATCATAACATCAATAGTAAATGCAATAAGACAATAGTGCTAAATGTATTACTGTCAGAAATAAGATTAGGTTTTCACGGTTTCTAGTTTTATATGTTGACGGACAATACGAGGTCTGACTATTGTTTTGTCATAGTTAATATAGATTCCATTGATAAAGTCTATTTGTTCTTTGGTTAACACAATTGAATCATGCATTGTATCACTAAATGCAACAAGTTAACTTGTTTAGTTTTTTAAATGATGCAACACAAATCTTTTAGATGTTTCTAATATTGTTTACAACATGTTTTTGGCATATCTACATGATAAGTGGCGTTATTTGCTGGATTGAATATTCACTCTTTACCTAATTTATTTGAATTGCTCTGTCCTGAGTAATTAAACTGTAAATGTAAAAATAATACGCTTTTTCCCGCGACTTCGTCTGCGTAATGTTTTGAGACTATGTTCTATATCTTTGCCAAATTACATTAAGATGTGTTCAACCGTTGGGGAGTTATAGAGTAAATGTGACAATGAAACGTATCCCAAAGGAAACGTATAGATTTCCAGGATCATAGGTAGACTATGTGTTCTTTCAGACTGTTTACATCTATGCCAAATTTCATCGAGATCCATGCAGCCTTTCTGGAGATATCTTCTAACAAACATCTATTCATACATCTAAACATTCAAATTTATAATATTAGTAAGATTTGTATGGCAATAATGTCTCACGACACTGTCAATGTCAGACCTGTCTATGCGATGCAGCGCTGTATAATGACATTCAAACTTTATGTAGGCTTACAATTTTGCACGACCCGCTACTCTAAACACAATCTTATCCTACATTCCAATCCTAACAAACATTACATTAAAACTCGTAAAGACCAAAATAAACCACTTTTTCACATAACTTAACAAATAACAAAAAAAATGTATTATTGCAACGCCAGCCACGTATGGAATGTGACGTTTGTTTTTACTTAAATTACTCGTTTGAATCTCAAGGCTTTACCGGCGTAAAAAGTTAGGGGACTGGCACGTCCTTGCGCTTTAGTTAAGCCGTAGTGAGCCTTAACAAATATGAACGTAGTTAACAAGCTGCAATAAAGTTTGATTCTTCTAATACATTGCGATTCGCAACATCGGTTCACGGTCCTCGCTTATGTAATGACCATCTTAATAGTGTAAGCTACTGCTGGTTCATTTAAACGTAAATGTTTGTAACCGTGCATTCCCACTACCTAAACATGTACAAAAATCATTATTTAAACTTCTTGTAAATATTAATGGAATGAGAATATATTTCTGTATAAATCGGCCGTGGAAATCCACGATTATTAGAACTATTTATGGATTTCATGTGTTATAAAGCTTTTGAATTTTGCGAGTATGTTAGTAGATTTTAAAAAGTACTCATTTGTTTCGAATTCTTCAAAAAGGTTATATATGTAAAGTGAATCTGCCTTTACAGATTTTAATTATGTAATTTCTTTTTTTTTGTTGGGAATAATTAGGCTTTGTATCCGTAAGGGGTTACTTGTACTTACCGTGGGGGTGATAAATGGTATGCGAGGAGGTTTGTAGCTATAGCCTTTGCTGGGCGGGAGATACTCGTTGCCGGCGCACGCCGCTATGCTGATCACAGAGGACGCTACTAGACAAGACAGCCACATCTAAAAAAATATAAAAAATGCAGATAAGTAATAGTAATAGGTAGCAGATTGAATAGGATCGTACTTATTAGTAATTCGATTTTATCATGACGAAGAATTATTTCCCGGCAAGTTGTATTGAAATAGTGTGTTGATTGTGTACAGCGCCATCTATCAAAATTTTGAATAACTACTATTACTTGTTAGTGTCACAAAAATGTAAGAGATGGCGCTAGGAGTTTTTAATACAATCGATTTGGACACCGCAAAATTCGAACTTCAATAATATTCCTAGCTAATCACTGACCTATCCGGCAATGTACTTTTAATACTATAAAACAGGATTTCGCGTCACAGAATATAAATATTTATTATATGCTAAAATTTGCGCGTTTTGATTTTCTTTTTTTTTGAATAAAAAGATCATCTCTGCCAACAAACAAGTTTTACAAGATCTTTTTTCTTGTTTCCATAGTTTAGTTTGGAATATATAACATAATTTATGTTTTGATTTATCATAAAATATGATGTATGCGAACACAGTAGCACAGATCGATGCGTGAAGCTGCAATGCAAATTGTAGGAGCAAGGTCGAGCCGTACCTCTCACTACTATATTTATTCGAGTGCAGATGAATCTAATCGTAACCTTATACTTACGGTATTATAAATAACTAGCTGACGCCCGCGACCGCGTCCGCGAGGAGTTAAAAAACTTAATTAGTAGCCTATTTGTTCTTTCCGACTATGTTCTATATGTATGTCAAAATTTGAGATCCGTTTAGCCGGAGGATATCTTCAAACAAACATCCATCTATCTAAGAAATCGCATTTATAACATAAGTAAGATTGGTGTCGGCAGACATAACAAACTTTTCCCTTTGTCATTGATTTTTGTTAAGAAATTATTGAAATCCACAAAATCGTTGCAAACTTTTTAATTATTGCTTAGAAATTAAATTAACAAATCATTTTATTATTATTTTGGTCAGATAATATTTTTAATAAAGTAACACCTTATTTGGTGTAAATTTGGCTGTAAATTAGCATTATTTGGATCTGTGGCTGAATGAACGAGTTGTCTTTGCCTTTTTGTTAGAATTAAAAAAGGCTTGGCTCTATGGGACTAAAATTATGTTATTTTTTTAATGTTTTATTTTTACATTTTATGATTTACGTTCGATTCCTTGTTATTTCTTTGTTTTTTTTTTTTATATAATATTATTAACTCCAACGTACAGTTCCGTTGACTTTTGTGACAACAAATTGCATTGCATTTGCACTATAAACTCTATGTGACTTTTTAGGTTATACTCACTTGAAATGTAGAAGAAATATTTTTTTAAAAGATTTATCGGACACTAGCTGTCGCCTGCAACTCCGTCCGTGCAGGATTAAAAATAGTATCCGATTCTCAGACCTACTAAATGCATATTAAATTTCTTAAAAATCGGTGAAGCCGTTTCGGAGGAGTACGGTAACATTGTGACACGAGAATTTTATATATAAGAGATTACTCTTCGGTTAAATTTAAAAATACATTAACGTTTGTGTACAAAAATTACGTAAAATAACTTACAGAGACTCATTTGAATATGGTTATAACAATAGTCTTTTGAGCCGCAATAAGCTCCCACGCCGGCGAGAAAATTAAATGATATTAATAGCTTAAAATTCGTCTTAATTAATTGCTTACTCCGATACAATACTTGTTTACTGGATATACTTGAGTATTTATCACAGGATTCTCAGAGTTAGGGCATTGTTACAAAGGTAGCGATGCTATATAATGCTATAAAATGGAGCGATGATAAAAAATAATATAACTGCAATATAGATTATTCTTGAATTATAGAACTTCGGTGGCTTGAAGTTAATCACTTGACTTGTAATTTACAAATCCTGTCATATATCAGTGTTTTTCAATGTTCGATTTACATATTTACATTTAACCGATGTTCTTATGGTGAAGGAAAACATCGTGATGCCTGCAAATATCTGCGAAGAAATTCAAAGATATATGTGAAGTCCCGCACTTGGCCAGCGTGGTTGACTATGGCCTAGTCACCCTAACTTAGGGTAGGCTCCAAGGACCTCGGTGAGGACGTACAGCTGATGATGATAATTAGTTAACCATAGAACAGAACAATAAAGACGAAATTATAAAAATAAAGCCTATCAGCAGATTTCAATTTAAAAAAATAGTTTTTTATGTACTTATTAACGGTTAAGTAAGTAGATTGATTTTGGATGGCACCTGTGGATTCTAATGTCAAGGAATCTCTGATGTACAGCATAGCATCGCTGTGTCCACATTCCTTACGGAGTCAGAAACAATAGTTCATTTCGCAACGTCCGTGCCTCAGTCGGAACGTTTTGCGAACAGATGCAATAACCCAAGGCAAGCAACTGCCAATTAAATATGACCCTTGTTTTAAACGTATTTCTAATGCAATAAGGTCTATTTTACCATGAAGATTAATTCGCGAACTGATGGATTTTGGATTAACAATGAATTTGTATTTAAATAAATACGCTATATTTAAAAGGAATATTTAATATTCTCTTATGAATCTCCGTTAAATTATTTGTAAATTAAAAATATAAAATTGTGACCCAATTTCCATATTGGCGGTTTACTTGAATACCTACCTATCGCCCGGGACACCGTCGGCGCGTAATAGAAAAAAAAATACCGATGTGTTCTTCCATACTATGTTCTACACCAGTGTCAAATTTCATCCATTGAGTCGTTCCGAAGATATCTTAAAACAAACATCAATCCATTGATCCATCCATCTAAACTTTCGCGTATGTCATATTGGTACGATAACCCAATTTACGGCATAAATTTATGAAAATATATAGATATAATTTACTAATTTCGCGGATCACTAACAATGTGAAATGATTGGAATGTTATTAATCAAAGCTCCCCGTTCAGAATTATCACACGCCGTGGTCTTCTCTGTTTCAGGATGCAATCAACAGAATATGTCGTGAGAAAAACATGAGTTTTGTAACACATTTTATTATTTATCGAATAAAGGAATTATTACATGCTATCTACCAAACTCATACAATTCTGAGACTGGATGTGGCAAGAGAGGGATTGAAAACAAATTACCCTTTTTCTATACATCTCTTCTCTTTTATTAGTATCTTCTAAGGTAGAAAACGTATTTGCTACTCTTTGCTGCTTATGTTTATGTGTATTTTGTTAATAATATTTCATAAAAAACAAATTACTGTTTACTAATAAATCTTATATTATCGATAATCATCCATAAATCTAATCATATTCATCATAAATCCGAAAGTCTTTAATAATTTTATAGCAAAAACTATTTTTAATCTGTTGAAATTACTACTTACAAAATCTGTGTGAAAAAAGATCATTAGTTGGTAAGGTAAGAGTAGACTCGTGTACAATCCAACCACAAAGTTGTGATTTATCAAGTACTAGCTGTCGCCCGCGACTGCGTCCGCGTTTGATTTAAAAAATGTGCCTATGTGTTCTTACAGACTATGTTCTATATGCATGCTAATTTTCATCGAGATCTGTTCAGCCGTTCCGGAGATACCTTCATACAAACATCCATCCATCTAAACCAGTCTTTCCCAAAGTGGGCGATAAGGCCCCCTTGTGGGCGCTCGTCTCAAGTTGCGGGTCATAGTAAAAGTTTCGTTTAGAATTCTCCGTTAATATACATATATAGGTCACAATAATTAATTAATTTAATTTGAAATTATAGTGGTTTTTAAATATGTGAAAATATGGGGGCGCTAAAAAAATATTTATTCTCAAAGTGGGCAGTAGACAAAATAAGTTTGGGAACCACTGATCTAAACATTCGCATTTATAATATTAGTACGGTGTTCTATCTTTAGTGTAGCACTAAACTTGTGTAATACATTGACATTTACGAGTATAAATTTTAGTATAAAATATGAACGCAATTTGTGCACTTTAACGACAGTGCACTGGTTACACATTAAGACGAATTTAGCAAAAAACTAAACCTATTTAAGATAGAAAATAGAGTAATAAGTTTAATATTATTTAGACATACTAGTCGCCCAGGACTTTGTCTTATCATAATTAAAAAATCAAATAAATCTTTATGGTTAATTATATCTAAGCTAAGGCCTGTCGTACAAAGGTAAAACTTCGTAACCCGGCGATTTTAGTCGCACACGCAATACAAAGTTATAAAGCTTTATACACAGTGTGCGTCGCCGACATATCTAGCTATCGCTAAAGACAATCGCTCGCAACCTCGTAAAAAAATCTACAATGTTTAAGGAATTTAGGAATTTTCAACATGTAGCCGCTATATCTGTTACTGAATGGTCAATTGACGTTGACGATTCAACTCTAGGACCTGCAGATGTTAAGTGCTTAACCCCTGAACATTAACGTTCCTTGCAACTTGCTTAAATCCACATTAACTTAGTTTGTTTAATTGTTGCAAAATTCAAGTTAACAAATCATTGTAACCTGATTACTTTATCCATTGTTACTGTGAGAATTTCGTTGCTCTACAACTTCGCTGAAACGATAATATCCTTTTTTTAACTTAATCCATATCTAGATTGTTGTAACGAATTAAAAAAAATAAGCCTGGAATGTGTCGCAATGGAAGCATCACTGTTGCCATTTCCAGTGATGAAAAACACAAAAAAAAATAATAGGGTTTTTGTACTAACCTCTATATATGGACTGGCTTAAGACGTAGTATTTTGTGCCTATTTCATTTCCACCATTTTAGCGCTGATTGTATTGTTATAACATTAATATTATCTTTTCTATAGTGTTGAATCTATATTTAACATTTATTCGATATTGTTCCGCAACCAAATTGTAATTGAACGAAGCCGTGTTTTTATCTCTTTCATTCCCTTTGAATAAAATGAGATAACAATATTATGTATGTTTCAAATTCAACCCAAATTCTGTCAGGGTTGCCACATAAAAATAGAGATAAACAGATTTACATAAATTAGTTCCAACATCAAAAT